GTTGAGCGCCTACATCAGGCACTCTTGAATGCTCTGTGGAAAATGCTAACTCACCATGAGCATTCAAGTTACATTTTTTTACATTTACTTATTTATTTTCACAGACAAAGCTTTTGAAATGTTAATGCCAATTAAATTAAAGTTTTGGAATCAGCTATATCCACAATAACCATCTATTGCAACTGTGTTGAGCAGGAGTTGTTTGTTCTTATTCTCAAATACGAAAAATAAAAAGATGTATAGCTTCTTAGTCCTTCCTCACCTGGCTCCTACCTTGTTTGTTTTGGTAACATTTAGTTTTATAATTACACAAACTTCACTAGTTCAGTCAGACAACTCACGTGTTTCTTAATATGTTTATTAGAAGCAGCATAGTTTGAGTTTGGCGTCTAGGCTCGGGCCTCATCAATCCACAGATTTACAAAGAACATTGAGTGATGATTAGATAACTTTCCCTGAGCCTACAGGTGGAAGCTGGGATGGAAGCTGGGGTCGTGATGGGGCAGGCAAGCAGCAGCAACATGAAACACAGCAGCAGGAACATGAACGCAGCAATAGCAAGTGAACACAGCAGTGGCAGCAGCAGCATGAGTGAGGCAGAGGCAGGAAGACCTGGCAGTAGGCACTCATCAGGTTTATTTCAAGGTTAGGGTTATTTTCCTCCCTGTTTTAGTGCCAGGGATTGGACCCTGACACTCACTGTGGTCTTGTACATTGCATTTCATGTCTGTTTTCGGCCTGCCTGTACTTTTGTCCCTCAGTCATATATTGGGGCACAGCAAAGTAGTATGATGAGCTTGCAGGAATTTGAGTCCAATTTGCTAATCTTCCTGATGAGTCGGTCACTGATGGGTTCCCATTACAGAAGTGAACTTCATCTTCCTTAACTAAAGAACGTTTTAAATGCTGGAGATGCTTTGTAACCGGAGCCAATCCCTCAACTTCTGGTTGACACAAAGGATGTCCAGGTTATAACTTTACGTCTCTGTAATGACATGAGCTTCTCTTGTGGTTTCAAACATCGTGTTCCAGCCTCAAAGACTGACTTCCAGAGATGACACTTATTTGAGCTTCTGATTTCCCGTGGTGGGCTTTGATCAGCCGCTGTCACTATGGCCAGTTAGGTTTTAGTTTTTCATTGGGGCAGATGAGTTTGCTAGTTTGAACCCAAACATATAACATTTCTGCCTTCAGGAGACTTTTTGACTCATTTCCCCTGTCCTATTAACCCCTAGGTCAAAGGTTACGGACTCACATTGAACAGGTTTTGTAGAAACAGCCTCATCATATGCAGCCCAACCAACTCCAGCTGTTGTGAAAATGACAAAAACCCCACCTCAGCACAATGGAAGTTGCGTTTTAGCATATGAGACCAGCAGACTATATATCAGCCTTCAATAGCAAAGAAAATCCTAAAAATGAAGAGCTGGGACCTAGTTCATGTTTCCACACAGCAGAGAAGTGGCAATTGGCCTCGTCATGTTCTATTGGTTGGATGTTTTAGCGCAGCCAGAGCTTTCTATAAACAGAGTTCAGCAGCCAACCACATCTCCAACCACAGCTCCAGATGGAAAAGAAACACTGTCTGTGGCTTTGAGGCACAATGTCTGTGGCATGAGTCTTTATAGACTGCTCTGATATATAGAGTTTCACTAGTGTGATATAACATTTTAATGAGGCTTAGTTAGTCCAAATCTGGTACTCTATTACACTTTTGCAGGAGCAGGAGAGGGTATGCAAGTAAAACATAAGCAATTGATGTGTGTGCATGTGTCTGATGTCAGAGTTTACCCAGACATCGACACACTCACACAATACAATTTCCTCTCTCTGCCTTATGTATCTGTTGGTTCTTGGTTGGTCTGAAAGAAAGTTATGCTGCTAGAACTTGATCATTATCAAGAAAAACTGTTTACACTGTAATATAATTTAACACCAATCTGCATGTTTAACCCTGTCCTCCAGAAAGTATGTTGCTTGCATACTAATTTACTTTTTGTATTTATTTTTAAGGGAACATAGTGTCTACACCACAGAAGTCAAAGGGTGGAGATTGATGTGGAGTGGAGGACTTTGACGTATCACATCATGATTTGAGCTTCATCATGAGAGGAGGGAGCTGGCCCCCTCTAGTCACACAGAAGTTGTCACGGCTGGAGGGCAAGGTACACAGGACCCAAAAGCAGAATATCCAAATTCAAAAATACTTTTATTGCAAAAACTAGCAACAAAGTAAAAATAAGGCAAGGCAAAAAACACAAAAATCCCTCTGAACAAAAAACCTTCCAACAACATCAAATAATCCCACAAAGACCAACAGAAAACTAGAACCTAAATGCACACAAACTAATCAACTGAACAGGACACAGGTGAGAGTGGAGGAGACAACACCGGGCACCAGGTGCACGCAATCAGCAGTAACAGACAAGACGGGAGGGGAAACGCAGAGACAGGAAACCAAAGACAGAACCAGGCATGACAAAAACACAACACAGACAGATCGTAACAGGAAGTCCTCTTGTTCTTTCGACATACAAACAGAAAAGTCTCCTCGATATTAAAAATATCAGAGGTTGATGTAATGGCCATACATTTAATTTATTCCCAACAAAAAATCTGTTCTTTCAATTAATATTAATGCTATCATTGTATTGATATTGCAATGTTGCAAAGTGCTAGATGAAAGAAAATAAGATAGTATGCCAAATGGATATAAATAACTGTAATACCCATATGAGCCAGAGGCAACATTGTGTTGAGGGCGAGTTGAAGGAATCAGGGCTAATTTAATGTTACATTCAAAATGCTTCATTATTTGAGTTGGGAACAAAAACATTGAACTTTAATATCTGCATTCCCTTGACATTTAACCAGAAGTCACGAGTAATAATGAATGTCTAAAATCTTACTAAGTGGCTTGATCCACCAACATAAGCTAACACTTTCTACCTCGATTGGCTTTGTACAGTAAGCTTCATCATGAGCTGACCACAATTGCATCTCTAATCAGATTTTCTTTCAATATGACGTACAGGTGTTCACTCAAGATTTGAAACCCTTAAATACTGAAGCCATACCTTGAGAAATAAAGAAGTGAATTGCATTTATTACACCTCAAATTGGTGTGTTTTGTGCTGAAGAGACAACAGTGAATTATGTAATAGTCAGAATCAGAATCGTTTTTTATTACAAAGTAGGTTAACACATATGAGGTATTCACTTTGGTGTATGTGGTGCATACACAGAAAAAATAATAAGTAGCAAAACAAAATCAAATAGAAATAGGACTGTTATCACAGCTATTTAAAATAAAAGTTTAAGACTTTTATAACAAATGTGCAATATTAACATGACAAATACTATATGCTGTATTTAAAGTGGAGAGCTGTGCAGATTTAAAAGAGGTAATCTGGAGAAGAAATGTGCAACATTTTATAAATAACAAGATGTTCGGATTATGTTATAATGTTTTTATGTCATAATGTTTTTTCTGGGGTGGATAAAAGTCAGTTTCAGTGGGGGTCCTGGTCCTTGTTGATGAGGCCAGTAGCAGAGGGGAAGAAACTGTTCAGCTGGTGAGAGGTTTTGCTCCTGATGGGGCGCAGCCTCCTGCCAGAGTGGAGCGGGGAAAACAGTTTGTGCCCAGTTCAGTCTTGTTTACTAAATACAAATAATACCTTGGTTTGAAAACGTATTTTTTTTTAAAATTATTTATTAGCCAATGTTTTATCACATATCATCAACCCAGTGTATTAATCCGTCATCAAATATCAATTGTAAGGCAGTCTCTATTTGTTTTTTTGTCAATCTTGCAACACATTTCATATCCGATATAAAAAAATGTAGGATCAAAATGTCCTTGCTAATAGTTGCCTACTGACAAAAAAACATATATAATAATCTCAATTAATAATGTCATTATAACAGTTGGACAATAAGCATGAAAAAAGTCACATTCAAGGTACATTTTTTATTGTGCATTTCATAAATTCTGGAAATATTCAGTTAACATTTAGTTGCAGGAATCGGTGATGCGCCTCATGCTCATGAACCTCTGGCCGCTCATGCCCATGTCCATGAAGTTCCTGTACTCTCCGGGCCTCATGTACATCATCTTGCCTCTGAACTGAGGCTGCTCGTACATCAGCCAGTGACCGTCCATCACGTTGCAGGACTGGCACTCGTTCATGCGGTAACGATCCATGATGTTGTCACAGTCCTCCATCATCTCGTGACTCTGACCACCGAAGTTCTCGTTCTCATAGATCTTCATCCTGTACTGGCCTCTGTGCTGCTTTGGGGAGAATAATTATAAATTAAT